ATTTCTAAAAACTACCAATTTTTAAAACCAAAAGAAAAATTTACAAAATGTTTTAACATCTTATAGAGGCTCTAAAAATAATTTTTTAAAAAGGGCTCAATTTGCTAAGAAAAAAGTTTGTAAAGAAAAACAGGTTGAGAAAAAAATGAATGAAGTGAAACAGTAAGAAAGGGTTGATAGGAAACTAAAAATATAATAGTAGAATCGACCTGTCCTTTGGAAGCTAATAGTAAAGAGTGGAAATCAACACTGCTGAAAACTGAGTCAGTAACTTGCAGGATGAATTGATAAGGCCCTCCAAATATAAAGGGGGAAAGATTAAAATGAGAAGAAAGATAAAAATGACTGACACAAAAGACCTCAGAATTCAACCTAAGAATGATAGGTATTCCTGAAGATGAGATCAAACCAGTTAGAATAGGAGCACTGATCAAAACACCATCAAAAAACCTCTTCTGAATTGAATAAACAAATCTGAGTGTTCCTCCTGATGAATGAGGTGGTGGGATGTGCACAACATCACCTATGAGGTAGTTTTGGAACAGTGTTGAACCTTGACCAAATCAGGATAAAACGTGGCCCAGCCCAGCTGCAGGAGCCCAGGGCTTGTGCAAACACGTCCCAGCCTTAGAAGGGACCATGCTTGGTTTTGATGCTCTGCTGCCTCTGTCTTGAATTCTGACTAATTTCTGAACAAAGGCCCCTTCATTTTCACTTTGACTGGGCCTCACAAATTATCTAGCCATTCCTGAATCTGACAAATCGAGATGGTGGGACGTATACAAGACAACTGGCCTACAATTTTTTTAAGCGTTACTTACTTAATAGACATGCCCTCCACCAAAAAAACCTACCATCCCAGAAAAAACATGAAAAAAACCCTGCATTGACCCTTCAACAATGCCAGGCTTGGGGGCACTGACCTCTCCCCAAACCCCCCTCCTTCTCCATGCAGTTGAAAATCTGTATATAACTTGTGTGATTCTCTCCAAACTTGTCTACAGCTGACTAGAAGCCTTACCACTAACATAAACAGTCTTATTAACATGTTTTGTATGTTATATGTATTATAAACTGTATTCTTAAAGCTACGGAAAAGAAAATATTTTTCCAAGTTATTGCAAATCTCCAAAAAATTTTCCCCTATGTTTATTGAAATAAATTCATGTGTAGGTGGACATTCACAGTTCGAACCAGTGTTCATCAAGTGTCAACTGTACTCTTGTAGGTTAAATGCATTTTAAGAAAACATAACAATCAAAAATAATGTGTGATCTTCTCCACTAAGTTCTTCACAATGGTATAAAGGGCATATCAAAGTGTGGGCAAAGGGTTAGTTTGTGTTTACACAGAGGATCAAAGCCTAATTTGGCTACCCAGAAAAACGAATTAAGATACGATATGAAGAAGAACTTCCAACATCAACATTCTCTGGAAGAGTCATTCCAGAAGATGATCATCAAAAAACTTCAACAAAGATCCAGGCGCTGCTGCCGTTGTAGCTGCATTCATCCCACCAGTTCCTGGACTTGCCATTGGAATGAAGAAGGAGATATCTAAGCTGGCCTGTGCATACAGTAAAACAACAAATTTGACTGGATCTGTACTGTCGGAACTCAACCAAGAATTAGGAGAAGTGCAAGTTGCAGCACTCCAAAATCTTGCGAATATAGACTATCTACTGTTAAAAGAACATATGGGATGTGAACAGTTCCCAGGAATGTGTTGTTTTAATTTGTCTGATTTTTCTCAAAATATTCAGATTCAGTTAGATAATATCCATCATATCATTGATAAGTTTTCACAAATGCTTAGGGTGCCTAACTGGTTTTCTTGGTTTCACTGGATATGGCTAGTAATTGTAGGTCTGCTTTGGTTATGTAGCTGTATTCCTATTATGTTAATGTGTGCATGCAATTTAATTAGTAATTTAAAACCTATACACGCTTATGTTACACT